GGTGCTGCCGGTCCTCGTGCTCCGCGCCGGGCTCGGGGCGCTGGCAGAGGCTGCAGGGGATGAGGGAATGTGTTCCTCCTGCTCGTCGTGCTGCCGGAGCTGAGGTTTGGGATGGGGCCGGCAGGAGAAGGGGTGATCCCCGTGTGATGCAGCGCGGGGGTGGCTCCGTGGGCTCGGGGGGCTGTGCCCTGCTGAGCGCTCAGTGCCTGGAAAACAGCGGATATTCCTCCTCTCCCTGGTGCTCCTGTGATGCCCAGCTGAGGCAGGGGGAGGGGGGCTGGTGCCAAGGAAGGTTTTGGGGGTCACAGCAGCCCTGGCTCTGCTCTGGTGGTTGGTTTGTGCTGCACTGGCACCTTCTGTTGCGAGGAGCCGTGAGGTGCTGCCAACCTCCAAGGTAAAAAGCATCCCCTCCCTGATCCCACAGGGATTCCTTCTCGGAGGGTGCTGCAGGAGGTGGATGCTGTGGGTCCAACCCCCCCTTTTTGGGGCTCTCTGACCCTTCCCCTTCAGCCACCCCTGACCTTCCCATGCTGCTGGTGCCAGTGATGTTTAATCCAGCTTGACCAGACCCGGCTTCCTGCCAGGAAAATGGGGCAGGAGGGGGGGGTGGGAGTTCAGTGCTGGAGCTTTGGCAGGTATAAAGAGAAAAGCCAAAAATCCTTCTCTGTTAATCTGCACCAGGGATCTGCACCTGGTGCTTTGCACAGTGCAAAGCTCTGCTGTTCCAGCCTGCAGGCCCACAGGGCCCTGGCTGGGGGGGAATAAATACTCTATATTTTGCCCCAGCATCCTATTAATGCTGTAAAGACACCAAAATCCAGGCTCAGCTATTGAACCCTTTATTATCTGGGGTCTTTAACCCCTGACCCCAACATGGCACTAGACAGACCCAGGAAAACTCCAGACCACAGAGCCCAATAAATCTGTCCCATCCTTTAAATCCACTTAAAATTCTCCAAGGAGGAGACTCAGCCCCACAAATCAGTGCAGATGCAAATTTATGGCTTGTCTTGGGATAAATGGGTTTTTCTACTCACAAAGCTCTTGCCCTGAGGGTTGGCTGGGACAAGGTGAAGGCGACCTTGTGGTTGTTCAGTTGGAGCAGGGAATGAAGTTGTTGGCCATGCAAGGAGGGAAATGTGAGGACAACCTGTGGAGAGGGGAGATAAGAGGCACAGCAAGGCCAGGGCATGACTGGAGGTGCAGCAGGTTATGAATGGAGAGAGAGGATGTGGTTTTCTGTTTCCTTTTCTGATTGCTATGGAATAAAGAGCTGAAAAATGGGCTTCCTGCGAGGCCAAGATTGAGGGAATTCCCCTGGTCACTGAGGCTCTGCCAAGTCCTTTGCTTTCTACCCTCTTGCTGGTTGGTATCAACAGTGTAAATACTGGTTTTTTCAGTGATTTTTTCAGCCTGTAGGAGTTGGTTTCTAGGAGCTCTTCAGATACTTTGCTCACAGATCCCTCAGTGGCCCCTCCACGGGGAAACTGAGTCACAGGGGTGCCACCTGGAACTGTGATTTTTCTCCCAGATCAGAGGAAAATGCTGGATATTGAAGGAGGAGCTGAGCTCTTCCTGCAGCAGCTGGGCTGGACTGATGCTTGAGGGTCTCGGGTGGGAGTACAAGGGGCATATTTATTGCTCAGAAATGCTTTTGCCCACGAAAAGGAGAATAAACCCTTGTTTCCAAGAGCTTTGGCTCTCTGGCAAGAAAGGGATAGAGCTTTTAAACGGCTTCAGTATTGAGTTAAAACTCTTCTTCAGCCTGAAGCTGGGAGGAAATAAACCCCCCCCACAAGTGCCAGGCTTCCTGTGTCATGGGACTGGGGCAGCTCGAGCCAGGTGACCCCTCCCTGTCCCTGCAGGCAATTAATGTCTGGGGAGAGCTGAGATCACCTGATGGGATGGGAGCAGGCTTAGATTCCAAGAAAACAGCCGCTGTGGCAGGGAGAAGATGAAACAATCACTGCAGTGGCCTGTGCCTGGCTCGGGTTTATCTGGAGCTCACGGCAGCAGGAAGCCAGGGGACGGGATGGGAAGTTCCAAAGCTTGCAAACAATGTGTTCTTGGCCCCGTGTCGGAAGTAAAAGCAGGTTTCTTCTGACCCTTCAAAGCGAGATTGTGATCTGGAAACGCCTGCTTTGCATTAAAAGCCGGAATTAAGTACACAAACTGCAGCAGGGCTGGAGGCTCTGCACACGTGGGAGCTCTGAGAGCTCTTCACATTGAGCTGGTGGCCCTGGGGCTCCTCCAGATACTTGTATTTTTGGCTCACCTGTGTCCCAAGGCTCTCTGTGCTCCCTGGGAAATATTTTTGTCACTGTGGCAGTGTCAAGAGTGGTCTGCAGAGGTGTGATGTGCAACAAAGCACCTTCTCCTTTCCCCTGCAAACACCATTTGTGGCCCCGTGGATCAGCCCATGTGTAATTTGGCTCCCACACAGGTGCTTTGGCTTCCACAGACGCTTTGTTGCTGTTAAAACAAGCCCCAGACTTCTCCCTCCCTTCCCTGCCTTGAGGTGGTTGCCTTTTATTAAGAGCCTTTTCATCCCAAAAACTAATAGGAAAATAATTTCCTGACCTATATCTCAGTTTTGCCCAACTGTGAAAGGCTTTTCAGTGGCTTTTAGAACTGTTTGGTGGGGATACAAATGGATTATATATATATATATTTTATATATATTTAAATAATCTCCTCCCAAATGAATTGAAGCGATATGGGGACAAATGCAATATATATATTTTATGTATATATTTAAATAATCTCCTCCCAAATGAAGTGATATAGGCAGTGCTCTGCTTCCTTGGCCTTCACATCATTGAGTAACCAAATTAATCTTGCACTTGGTACCTCTGAAAGCTTTGTTTTAACTCCCAAAGACTGGGAGCCTCGTGGAAGCTGGGAGAACAGGAGCAGGAGGGGGTTTGCAGTGGGGTTTTCAATGATGGCTTTGCCAAAGAAAGTGTGAAGAATTTTAACTGCAGGTTAAAATAAAAATATCTCATTCCCTCTCATCTCACCCCCCCTTCCTTATAGGGACAAATCCTGGAGGAACATCTTTCCCCCAGCCCTGAGCCTCGTCCACGGCACAACACCAGCTGGAAAGACAGGATTCCTGCAGTCCTGCACTGCTTAGTCAGGAGAGGGAACACCCTGGGATTGCTGGGAGAGGAGCCTGGCTCCTGCTCCAGCCCTGGTTTGACACCTCTGGATCTGTGGCTGGATCTGGGAGGATCCTTCTCCCCAGGGGAAGCTGCTCCGTGCAGGCTCTTGGGTTTTCTTCTCTTCTGCCCAGCTCTGAGAGCTCCAGGCACAGGCAGACCCGAGGAGGGGGGTGATGCCAGTGGAAATCACCCATCCCTGGTGTGGGTTTTCCAGGAATGGAGGGTTTGTGCAGGCAGGGACAGCTCAGAGTCACCCTGCTCTGTGCATGGGTTTGAAAAGGAAACATTCCAGGAGCCTCCTGCCCCTCAGGAGCCCACCCAGGACCTTCAGGAACATCACCCAGGAGCTGGTGTCTGGCTCTGGCAGCACATTCCCATGGATTTTTATCCTGACCTTTTATCCTGCTGCCTCTTACACTCTGTCTCCCTGAGCAGGGGAAAAATGATCTTTGCAATGACTCTGCCATGACTTCTTTATCAGGGAGAAAAGCCAGAGTTCATCTTATGTGAGATGCTGTAAAATTGCTGCTCCCATGAGTTTTCCTTCCAAAGCATCCCTGGGGGATCCCTCTGCACCTTGTCTATTGGCAAACCCATTTTGTGCCAATCCTCAGGAGATCTCCAGGTGGAAGTGGCTCATGTGGCCTCTGTGGGAAGGGCTTTTCTCTGCCTCCAGCCTTGAAATAAAATATCCCTGTTGGGAGTTCATCCCATTTCTCTTTTGCTGTTGTTTTGGGAACCTCTGGTTCCCCCAAGTAACCACTGCAAAGTGACTGCAGGAGCCAAGGGGACTGGAGGGGCTCCAGGAGAGCTGGAGAGGGACTTGGGACAAGGGCTGGAGTGACAGGACATGGGAATGGCTTCCCACTGCCAGAGGGCAGGGATAGATGGGATATAAATTCCCATCTCTATATAAATTCCCATCTATATAAATGGGAGAAATTCCTCCCTGTGAGGGTTGCCCAGAGAAAGCTGAGGCTGCCCTATCCCTAGAAGTGTCCAAGGCCAGGTTGGAGCAACCTGGAGCAGTGGAAGGGTGTCCCTGCCCATGGCAGGGAGTGGAATGAGATGACCTTTGAAGTTCTTTCCAGTCCAAACCATTCCATGATGGTTTACCAAGGTGAGAGTCCACGTCTCCAGCTGTCCTGGTGCCCAACCCCTTGTGTCTGTCCCGACCTTTGCTTGCTGCCTCTTGCTAAACTTCCAGCCACACGCTCAGTTTTCCAAGGGAGCTCCTGCTTTTCTCAGAAATCCACCTTTCCACGGCAGAGTTTTTGGGGCAGTTTGTGCTGATCACCGGCCCTGCCTGGGTCTGGGCACCCCGGCTCATCAACCCCCCCGTGGCCTGGGCCACTGTGAGGATGCAAACCCCACTCTGGCTCTCCTGACTCATGTGACCCAGCATCCCTGACTCCGATGGGAAAGGCATTACTCACGTGAGCCTGTTTGCAGGGATCAGGGCTCTAATTACGGGCTGCAGCCGTGGGAACCAGAGCCATTAGCCCCTAAACCCTCCAGATCATTCCCAATACATTAATGTTTCCAATTAGTTGGAGCCTGGTGCCTCTCTCTCCAGGATGACAGCGCTGCTGGTCCTCGCTCGTGTTCACTCTGCGTGCCGGCGCCTCATTATATAATGATACAGTCTGTGGTGTAATCCCTGCTCCCAACTGGCTGGGGGATTTCTGCATGTGCCTCATCCAGAACTGATTAGGCAATGGAGGAGACTGGCAAATGAATGTTTGGGTCACGTCCTTCCCTAATCAGCTTGGAAGCCTCCAGTGCAGGGAGTGTGTGTGTGCGTGGGGGGGGGTTGGGCCGGGCAGGACCCCAGGGCTGTTGGGGCCGTTGGGGACCGTTGGGGGGTTGAAACCCGTTGGCGGCTCTCGAGCAGCCGAACTGCCCCTTCCCTGGGGTTTTGCTTTCGGTTCCCAGTCCCTTCTTTCCCTTCCTTCCAAGGAAACCATCTCCACGGCAACCTCAAACCTCCGGGCTTTGCCTGGGAGCTGCTCAGCCATCCCCGGGACCCCGGTAAGTGGCTCGGGCAGGGCCGGTCCTGGTGGCCCCCGTTGGCTCCTGGGTCCAACAGGCTGGTATGGCCTGGGGAGGTGAGGGCTGGAGGGGTGGGCAAATAAAACCCTGTGTCTCCTCGTCCTCAAGGCTTTGTATGGCTTTAACCTGGGTGTCCATGGCTGTCCTGGTGCGGGAAGAGCTCTGCCCTGGTGCTGGAGGGGGTGGATGGGTTCGGGGTGAACCCTGGGGCTGTTCCCCTGCAGAGACCCTGCCTGGGGCCAGGGATGTGTCAGGGTGTGGTGGCTGGTTGTGTGTCCTTTGGTGACGGTCTTGGATAGACCGTGAGCAAGCCTGATCCCAGTTTTCCATCTTTTCCATCGCGTTAGGGAGAGCAGCAGGGCCAGCAGCTGGAGACAGGGGCTCTGTCCCCTCTTGGAGCTGTGTGGTGTCACAGGGATCACCGTGGTGCTGAGCCTTGTGCCACCACATGGGCACATCCTCAGCAGCACGTGGAGGGTGACAATGCACCAGCCTGGTGGAAAAGGGTCCTCTGAGATGGGGGGTCTTGCTGGGGGTTCGGGATTTGCTGGTGGGGTAACTGGGGTAAAAGTTGTGGAACTGGAGAGGAAAGTGATGCATCAGGACTTTTCCTGGAGCTGGGAACTGAACTGGAGCGTGGTGGGGGCTGACCCTGCCTGTCCCTCTGTCCCCCAGGGCAGGATGAGGCTCCTGAGCGCTGTGTTGGTGGCTCTCAGCCTGTTCCTCACCGGTGTCCGGGGGAACCACACTTCCCGGACCTGCATCTTCCAGACACTCAGCGACTCGGACAAGGAGTTCTGCAGGTGAGTGATGCTCTGTCTCCTTCCTCACCTGCACCAGCCCTGCACATCCCACCACAGGCTGCCCTCAGTGTCCAGGGTGTCACCTCCTGGGACAGGAATTCCAGTCCAGCACTATAAGCACTGGCTGTTTTCCTCCTTTTGCCAAGAATCCGGGCTGTTTCTGGCCACCTCAAGTTATTCCCTGGCCTGTCGCGTGGGAGCTTTAAAAGTGACTTTTACAGCATCAGGGATGACAGGATGCTGTAGAAAAGACTATTTTTCCATAGGATCCTGGAATGGTTTGGTTGGAAGAGACCTTAAGGATCATCTTGTTCCACCCCCTGCCACGGACAGGGACACCTTCCGCTAGCCCAGGTTGCTCCAAGCCCTGTCCAGCCTGGCCTTGGACACTTCCAGGGATGGGGAAATCCATTCCAGGGCCTTGCCACCCTCACAGGGAGGAATTTCCTCCCGGTATCTGCTAATGAAAGTTTAAATTCCTGCTGCTACCCGGGAGCAGGAGCAGAGGTTCCATTCTGTGCTCGCTGCACCACCTTTGGATCCCCCATTCCAACCCCATCCCGAGCCTGGCGCCGATTCCCACCTCCTGCACCGCAGGATCTCACCTTGCACTCTCTTCCCTCTTTTCCAGAGGGGATTTGGAAGTGATCTACCCCGACGTGGGGGACATTTCCTGCTCCTACGTCCCCAAGTGCCACGGCTACCGGCGGCGGCTCAGCCGGGAATGGGGCAGCCCCCACGTCCGCTACACCTGGGCTGAGAAGGTGAGTCCTGCTCCAACTTCCACCTTCAAGGAATTTTCTGGGATTGGGGTGGCTTTTTCAGCCTTTTTCCCCATTGCTTCAGAGGTTTTGTGCAAGGCTGAGCGTGGACAAACTTCTTTTTCCCTGCATCATGGCCATTTATTATTATTTTTTCCCTACATTTTGGCCATTAAATCATCTTTTCCTACAATCACACTTTTGTTTTTACTACCTTGAGGCCGCTTTTAAATATTTTTTTTTTGCTGCACTGGCCATTTCCTAAATATTTTGACTACGTTGCAGCCATTTTAACAAATATTTCTGCCACACTGTAGCCATTTAATAAATATTTTCACCATATTCCAGACATTCAATTAAAAATATCCTCTGCGTTATAAACGTTATTTTGCCTACCTTGTAGCCATTTATAATATTCCCTACATTGTGGCCACTTAATCATTTAAATTTTTGCCACATTATGCCCTTCTAAAAGTATTAATTAATTTTTTTTGTATTGTGACCATTTTATTAAGTGACCAGAATGTAGCAAAGAAATTAAATACTTTTTTTTTGGCTACACTGTGACCACTTAATGATTTAAAATTCTGCTATATTTGGCCACTTAGTGATTTAATTTTTTTGCTGTTTTGTGGCCACCTAATGAATTTAATTTTTGCTGTAGCGTGGCTATTGTTTAAAAAATTAATTAAATGGCCACAACATAGGGGAAAAAATGAATTAAGTGGCCACAATATAGGAAAAAATTTAAATAATTTTCTTGGTACTTCGTGGCCACTGTCAATTTTTAATTTTTTTTGCTATGTTTTGGCCACTTCAATGCTTTTTCCTCTGTTGTGGCCATTTAACTTTTGGTATATTCTAGACACTTTTATTTTTTTTCCTCCACCGTGGCCGTTTTAATTTAATTTTTTTGCCACCAAAACAACAACAAAAATTAAAAAAAAAAAAAATTAGCGCCGTAAATTTTATTTTTACGATTTTTTTTTGAGTCAATATTTTTAAAGACCATCCCAGGCTCTGGCTTTGATATCTGGGATTTGATATTTCCAGCCGGTGCTGGAATTCGGGATGAGGAATGGGGGGGGTCCCGTGTCCCCCGGTGCTGCAGTTCCACCCTGATGCCACCAGGTGGTAGCATTGAACTTCCCGAGCTCCAGCGCCGCCGGGACTGGGAGCAACTGGGAAAACTGGGAGCGCCTGGGAAAACTGGGAACAACTGGGAAAACTGGGAGCGCTGGGGGGACTACTGGGCGTGCCCCGGGCAGGGGAGCAGGAGAACAAGTGGGAGCTGTTCAGGGAGGGAATCCTGCCCGCCGTGTCCAGCTGGGTGTCCGAGGATGTGGTGGCATCGACTCTCAGCGTTCCCAAATCCCCGTGAAATCCTTGCTGGCACCCCAAGAACTCCCGTATCCCAATAATTGCCGTGTTTCCCATCGCTGACTCCAACCCTGGCGGGTTTCAGGCGCAGCTTGATAAGGGAAAACTCACTTCTCCGTGTGCCTTGGGGCGTTAACAATCCGCTTTTCCGGCTCTTCCTCGCCGTCTGGGAAGTCTCTTCCCCCCGTGGATCACATGGTTTGAAGTAGAACTTTTCCTTAAAGATGTCTGATTCTTCCAAAATAACCCTCCTTCCTGGCAGAGGCTGCAGCACACGGGATCATCCGTCGGTCCCGCGGCGCTTTCCAGGAGTTTGAAGTTTCCCAGGGATGTAGGCAGTTGTTTTTCTTTATATTTTAGTCCTGGAAAGCAAAACCCGGCAGGGAGAAGGGAAGGGACTGGCTGGTGGATGTTGCTCCATGGGGTGAATGGTGCTGCTGGGCTGGGGGAGGATTTTAGGGATGAGAGCCAGACCCTTCCCCGCTGTGCCAGGGGGATGCAGGCTGTGCATCCCTGAGCCCAAAAACAAGGGCAGGGGAGTGAACATCCCCAGTTTGGGGTTCAGGAGCCAGGTGTGTGTCACCAGCACCCATTTATTTTGGGATGGGATGCCAGCTGTGGCCCAGGGAGGGGGGCAAATCCCTGGGGAGCCCCTCCCAGGGGGGCCAGTGGCTCCTGCTGGCATCAGGGCTGGCTCTGCTGATGGATTTGGCACCGTTTCCTTCCGAGACATCTCAGCACATCTTGTGCTGAGGCGGCATCTGAGGACACGGGTCCTGCTGCTTCCCGTGGTTTGTGTTGATTTTTCTCCTCTGGCCCTTCCCAAAAAAAAACCCCCCCACATCCCCAGCTCTGCGCAGCCGGGAACGTTCCAGCTTCATCCAGGGTTAATTTTGGGCAAGGGCCTGGCCTTAAAAACCTATCACAGAGAACTGGATCTGTAATGCTTCATACTTTATAGGAATATTTAATTCTCTTACTCCTGAACCTGTAAGGGTGCTTCAGGATAATATTATTCCCTCAAAAAAAAAAATCACCCTAAATCGAGTGGGAACAAGAGTTGCGTCACAGGACTGAGGTGTGTGAGTTGTTTTTGTGGCTTATGATGGGATTTTCAAAGCCCAGGAAACTTGATTATCCTTTATTTATTCCCGAGTGAGAAGGGGAAACCTCACTTCCCCAAAGTTGTCTCTTGTCTCCACGTGGTGCTCCTGGGCACACGAGAGGCTCAGTGATCCCTGGGTGGGGTGCTGAGGGCTGGGTGAAGGGCTGGAGATGCTTTTTTTCCACCCGAATCAGCGGCAGAAAAACTCAGGGTTTGAGGATGCAAACTTGTGTAGGAAGTGTCGGCTTTCTGTGGAACACTTTGTCTCTTCAAGAAAAACAACCACCAAAAAAGCCAAATGCGGAGTGTTTGTTTTTATCTCTGGAAATATTTATCAGTTTTCTTAGGAGGGAGGGGGAAAATGGGATGTTTCCCATCCTTGTCCCAGATACTGGTGATGGGTTTTGGGAGTGGGGTCAGGTTTGACCCTTCCTGTGCCCAAGGTCTCCCCTCCCAGCCTTTGGTGTTCCTTGGTGAAGGAGCCTTAAAGTGAGGTGGCATCTTGCAAAGCTGAGCTCTGATGGCATCAAAACCTGGCCTGGAGGACTTTATTACATTGTTTTATGTGTGGTTAGAATTGTTTTTAATTTTCCATGATGCTTATCCAGGTTGAGCACTGGGCTGTTGAAACCAGCTCTATCAAACATCACTTCTGCTGCCCCAAAGACCCTTTTTTGGACTCTTTTGATGCAGTGAAGGCAGCTGATCTGTCTGGCTGCATCTCTGAGAGCAACACAGTCGGGCAAAGGAGTAAGGGATGCTTTGCCAGGCACAGGAGTTTGGTTATGGATGGTTTGGGTACCTTGGAAACCCTTTAACTGCTGGGCACAGCTCGTGCCCATGTTTTGGGTGGGTGGGAAGTGCCTGTCTCCCAGCCCTGTGCTGGAGCAGAGCAGCCAGTTGGTCTGTCCTGGTGTGTAGAGGATTAGGAGACATAGCCCTGGGATGCTGGGGATGCTCAGTCCATGTGGGATGCAGCCCTGGGATGCTGGGAATGCTCAGTCCACGTGGGATGCAGCCCTGGGATGCTGGGAATGCTCAGTCCATGTGGGATGCAGCCCTGGGATGCTGAGGATGTTCAGTCCTCAGACCTCCTGAACACTGAATAACTTGCTCTGTGCACACCCCGTGCACCCTTTGGGTACCACTGTAAGGTTGTAACACGGAGCAAACCCCAAATATCAAAGCCTCCACCAGCACCTTCCCAAAAAAATCCCGCAGCAGAGGAGCTGCCGGGGGCCCTTCCCCGGGGCCGACGGAGCGGGAGAGAACATCTGGAAAGACGGGAAATGCGTCCTCCTCGCCCTGCCACAATATTGCTTCGCTCGACCAAAAAATAAATTGGAAAAGAAAATTGGCCATTGCATCAATTTGGGGGCGAGTTTATAAATCCTGCAGCTAAGCAATCCCCCCCGAAGATGATGTATCGTCGCATTAACCCGAGCGCCGCGTTCCGTGATTCGCTTTTATTGCCGCGGCTGGTGGCAGACAGAAAAACAGATTACACTTGAGATCAAATCGATGGGAACTTTATTTACTGGCCTTTTTGAGCGCTCGTCTCTGGGCTTTATAAAAACATACGGCAGATGCCCGTTGATGGGACTTGTCTCCTTGTTAAAAAGCAATTTTACCTGCCGGGAGTTCTCGGGCCGCGGGTTTTACGGCGTTTACCTTGTACCTGCTCCTCCAGATTTGTTTTCATCCCAGGGTTTGACAACTTCCTTAGAGGCCTCGTTGGTTTTCTTCGGGCTGTGCCATCAGTTGTTTAGGATACATGGGAAGGAGTAGGACTTTTATTCCAGGCAAGGTCCAGGAAAAAGTGCTTTTCTCAGGGTTCCTACTCCAAACTCAACTGTTCTAAATTTAAGTCATTTTTTGAAAAATCCTCTCCTGGCCAAACCATGATCCATGAGCTACAACTTCTTTCTGCAGCTGTCCAGGTCACTTATTTAAAGCCATTTCCACAGTGGAATGAACTGGAGCTGAAAAGGCAGCTGGAAAAGCCCCCGGCTGTGTGATCCGTGGGATGATCCCCTCAGGGGTTCATGCAGCAGCTCTCTGTGCCCTAAACCTGTGACCAGCACCCACGGGTGCTGCCCTGGGGCTGGAGATGTCCTGCCATGGCACTGGGGATCCCAGCCATGCCCAGGGAGGGAAGGGCAGGGCAATGAGCCTCTCCCAGGAGTTTGGGTCATGCCTGGAGTCCACAGCAAAGTGCACTTAGTTATAGCCCAGCCTTGTCCCCAGTTCTCCCCTTTTTGTGAGCACTTGGTGGCCGAGTTGGGGACAGTCCTGATTTATAAAGGTTTCTGTGCTCTAGGGGCTGGGGCCCATTATTTGGAAAAATCATTTGTATGAGCAAAAATCCATTAACTTTTAACAAAGGGAGGAGAAGGTCTGTTCAATCTCCCGTGCTCCAGTTGTGTCAGGGGGGGATTTGCAGCTGGCTGAGAGGGACCTTTTCCGTGGCACTCAGGTTCAATTCAAGGCTCATTAAAGAAGATGGTTTTAAGCAGAA